ATACCAACTCAAACCTTAAAAACAAAATCAAATCCATAATCTAATTGAAAGAGATACATTGCGATACCCTGTGATACCCTGTGTATACATACAATGTGCACTGTGACACCCAATGTAAAATACATATAAAACATTCCTTTTGTTTGTATTCTTTGCTGATATGCTGTCATGATCCAAAATGGTGTGCACTAATTGTGTTAGAGCACTGGATCTTGAAGATGAACAGGACTTTGCTCACCAACTTCAACAAGATGGTTGGTGATCTAAGAATTCATCAACCGTGGTAATATCGATGATACTGTCAAGATTGGAAACCCTAACCCCAATGGCCATCTCAAATTCTCAATCCATCCCTTTCAATATTCCAATATTCTATTAAGAAAACAGAGAGAAGACAGAATGAAACCAACAGCGTGGAATAAATCGGCAACAAAGAGGCTCGACATAGAAGAAACTACGAACAGACGAGAGGCTATTCTGGGTTGTTTTGACAGCCGAGAGAAAGAAGATGAACAAGAATTTGGTAGAGGGTACAAGCAGTTAYAACAAGGGAAGATCTTGGTTAGGCGATACTCCATGAGAACCTCCGCCATCGTCGTCGTCGGTGAATGAGGGAGGCAGTTCAAATATCATCTGTGAAAGGAGCCTAGGGTTTGTGTATATAAATATATATTAAAATTACTAATACACCCTTTTTCTTAATTAAGGTAATACAATTAATATAGTAAAATGATTGGCTGAGATTGGATCTCACAGTTACCACAAACTAATCAGTTCTCATTTGATTAAGCCCCTATATATATATATATATATATATATATATATATATATATAGGTATGAGTTGTTATACAACCCTTTATATTTGTATAATCAATATAACTCAATTTCAACCGTCCATTTAATTTGATGAATATATGATTTAATAGAAGTTTTGATTGTTTCCTAATATAAAATATTGATTATAATTAATTAGTCATATTCATCTTCCATAAATATTCAAATCATAATAAATGAACTCTCATTATTTATATAAATATCTCAATTTATTGTGTTGCATTGATTGTACAAATGCGATGGGTTGTATTTGAAACGAACTCTCTCTCTCTCTCTCTCTCTATATATATATATATATATATATATATATATATATATATATATATATATATATATATATATATATATATATATATATATATATATAGGGTTGGGTTCACGTGAGACCAAAAGTTTTTCGTGAGACCCGTAAGACCAATTTATATTTATTGATCAACTTTATAAGCTAATGATTTAGTGGTCTAAAGTTGCACGGTAGCAATTTTGTGATTATTGAGAATTCTCGTGGCGTTTATGAATGTTCAGATTGTAGTGTTGTAGATCTAATCTAAAGGTTGAGAATTGGTCTTACGGATCTCACGAAAAATCTTTTGGTCTCACATGATCCCAAATCTATATATATATATATATATATATATATATATATATATATATATATATATATATATGTGTGTGTGTGTGTGTGTGTGTGTGTGTTATTCTTTTGTTAACCAAAGAAATAGCATAAATTTTATTAATCATAGCTTTTTCCTTTTTTGTTAAACAAAAATAATTTTTTCACCTATAAACTTTAAACAAAAATCATTGTTTTATTTTCTGGTTTTACCTATGAATTTTGATTATCTGGTTTCACCTTTGAATTTTGATTATCTGGTTTCACCTTTGAATATTTAAAACAAAAATTATTGTTTTAATATCTAGTTTAACCTATGAACTTTCTGGTTTACTTTGAACACAAATAATTGAAATATTATTATTGATTATCTTCCAAAAATAAAATTTATTAATTTCCAAAAATAAAAATAATTTCTTCCAAAAAATTCCCTTTATCTAAATATCATTTAACTTGTAACATTTTTTTATCAGATTATAACATCTCACTGAACCATAACTGTTGATTTGAAAAATGAAAGGCTCAGATAGGTTGACAAAGTTAATACTATTTACTTGGTTAACAAATGATTATGTCTTTATATATATACGATTCTACAGTTGAGAACTCATAAAATTGTGATAACCTTGGAAACCAGTTTCATGTGATTTTTTTCCATCTATAACTTGGATTTAATGTATTGATTAACATATATTTGTTTCACAATATGAACATTTTTATGCATTTATGAAACAAAAAATACAGCTAAAAGTTTCACATTGTCAACTGAATACATATAAATAGACTATGAAACAAATATATGTTAATCAATATATTAAATTCCAGACCTAGATGGAAAAAGTCATGTAAATAATACCTTATGATAATAGTTCTCATAGTTATCACAATATATAGGGTTCTCATTCAATTATGCCCCACATATATATACACTTAATTATTAATGTATATGCAGTATGCGATGGGGTATGTAACAGGCGAATACTATGGAATTAACGCAACATTAAATGTATGGGCTCCATATGTAGCGAATCAACTTGAATTTAGCCTTTCACAAGTCTGGGTTATTACTGATGTTTCAAATCATGGTATGAATACTATTGAAGCGGGTTGGCAGGTATTCTCATCTGCTTTATTATTAATTATTTATGTATATGCAGTATTACCAATGTTTCAACCATGGTATGTTCGTCAATGGTTTATAATTTTGTTTCAATGGCAGATATATCCAAAGATATATGGAAACAGTACTCCTAGACTTTTTATTTATTGGACTGTAAGTTCTAATTTGTTTGTTAATCTGTACTTTTTTTGTCTCTTAGATCCTAATTCTAGAAGTTCTAAACTAAAAATACAGAGTGATGACTACCGAAACGGATGCTACAATTTGTTATGCTCGGGATTCGTCCAAACAAATGATAAGGTCGCACTTGGAGCTGCTTTAGAACCAATATCAACATATAATAATCAACAATATGAAATCAACATATTAATCTGGAAGGTACACTTAGTTTACTCTAAAGTTAATGTATTTTTTTTGTCAATGTTAAGATATATATATATATATATATATATATATATATATAGAGAGAGAGAGAGAGAGAGAGAGAGAGAGAGAGTGTGTGTCCAAATCATTTGCAAACCCTCTAAAAAGGGTCAAGTTCATACAAGAACAATAACCGAAGAAAAAAGTAAGAAAATAGTCGAATCATATGTGATTTTACACTAAAATCACATATGATTCATGTGACTTTGGTCGAGACGTAAGGTCGCTGACCATGTTGCCCCACATCCTTTTATTGACCATTAGTATAAAATCACATGTGATTTTACATATGCGATTTAGTCGTTTTCGTATTCTCTTGTTTTCGTCAAACCCGTGAAACCACATAAACAACACTAAACCTTCATAGTGATAATCGTAGATATTTTTGTTAATCATAGGTGATCATCATAGATATTTTTTTAATCATATGTGATAATCGTAGATATTTTTTTTAATCATATGTGATTATGTATATTTATATTTATAGATCTTTTTATGATATAAATATTATCACATGTTGTAACATATCACTTATATTCATAAGTATATTATTATATGTTATATGTACAAAAACTCATATAGTACATCATAAAGATCATATGTTAAACAAAGTTTATCACATGTGATTTTTAACATGGATCCAAAATTTAGAGAAAAAATTGTGAAAAAGATTATGAATTAATTGTAGATATCATATGTGATATTTGATGAAAATTTTGATTTTTTTTAATCAAAGTATATCTAGGAAAAAAGTTATATAAAACTTTAGAAAACAATTATGAATTTATTAAAGAGCAAATTGCATGAAAAAATAACGTACTTTAACTTAATTCCTATTTTGAGTAACATATTTTCAAAACTTCCATTTTGGTACCTAAGATGTAAAATTTTAAACATTTAAGTACCCGGATAACCAGTTGAAGCATTAACTGGTTACCATGCTGATGTGTCAAGTGATGGGATGAAATTGGGTTGAATAACAAATAATACTGAGTTGGATACCACATCACTCGTCACATCAACATGGTAACCGGTTAATGCTTCAACTGGTTACATGGGTACTTAAATGTTTAAAACTTTACATCTTAGGTACTGAAATGAAAGTTCTGAAAGTACATTACCCAAAATAGGAATTAAATTAAAGTACGTTACTTTTTCATGCAATTTGCCCTTTATTAAATTAAAAAATAAATAAATCTAAAATATATAATTAGATTTTTAAATTAATAGATTATGTAGCTCATATTCCTTCTCACGTTCTTGTAAATTAGTTAGATTCTCGCATGATTCTCTCTCTCTCTCTCTCTCTCTCTCTATATATATATATATATATATATATATGTGCGTGTGTGTGTGTGTGTAAGGCTATTCATGGGAGAACTATGTATTTTGTGAGAACTATGAGATCCACTCACAGCGACACATGTTGAATCCATATATGGTAATTCACACTGTGATTACTTAATGTGTTTTATGTTTCAAACATTAAACCCAAACATGATAATTCATACTGTTACAACTTACTGATCCAAGACATGAGTGTTTTATGTCTCAAACATTAAACGTATACATGGTAAGTAATACTGTAAATACTCATTAAAATATCGGATATGGTTGGATCTCACACTTCTCACAAATACCTGTGTTCTCAAATTATTACCACCCTGTATATTGGTAATTCTATCCAAACATAACTGGAAGTTTCTGTTTTTCTAGTGATCGGATCGCTAATGTATATTTTTGTACTTCATATTTTTCCATGATCTAAACATGGTTGTGATTTCCATCTCTTGTCGATTTTTGTAGGATCCAAACTCCAAAGATTGGTGGTTAAAGGTGGGATCTAGTGTGGTTGGGTATTGGCCGTCAACTTTATTCACAGACCTTCGAGAACACGCAGGGTTGATTGAGTTTGGGGGAGAGGTGTACAATGGTCATATATCAGGTTCACACACATCGACTCAAATGGGAAGCGGCCACTTCGCAGAGGAAGGATTTGGGAAAGCATCGTATATTAAGAGTATAGAACTGGTTGATGGAGAAAATAAGCTAAATCGGGTGTCCAAAATGAATTTAGATGTCGATAATCCAAATTGCTATGATGTTACAAGTGGGTATGCCGATAACTGGGGTAGCTATATCTATTTCGGAGGGCCTGGAAATAATCCAAAATGTCTCTAACAGATTAATGTCTTATTTGTAACAATCCTAGAGTAGAGTCTAACGGTTTTAGTAAAAAAAATGACAATACAATGACGCCTTTAACGATAAATTATTGATGACGTGGCTTCACGTGATTGGTAGGCAAGAGCAAAACAAAGAAATTTGAAACAACAGATTCTTATCTTGTTTGTATTACCTACAGATATTCATACACTCCATGATATCCTCTTTTTTCCTATTCCTCATAACAAACTCACATCATAATGGGTAGACTTATTAAAGGCTTAACGGGCTTCCGTGAGCCTGCTCACTCGATAACTACAAAAAGAAAAAAATTCAGTGTCAGGAAGGTGTACCCGCTTGATTTTGAGGGGTGTCCTTAAATACTTTGAATCCAAATTTATAACAAAAGTTAAACAGAGGAGATGGTGAGGTTAGCACTCCATATGTAAGAGGTTTCAGGTTCAAATCTTATCTCAAATGAATATTAACAACAACTCCCAACCTCATGTATAGTGGCGGATCCAGATTTATGCCTAGTGGGGGCACCTTTAGTCTAATTCCACCATTTCGAGGGATTTTTTTAGTTTTTTGTCAATTTTGAAGGATTTTTTTCGATTTTTAATTGATTGTAGGGTTTTTTTTGGTTGTTGAGGGCACAGGCAGAAAATTAGTTCCCCAATTACTTGGGGACTATAATCATGAATTTCGGCAAATTACATTAAAATGATTATACGAAATTATCTTAAAAATACTTGTGATATATGCACTTTATACTGGTTTCGATATGAAATGATATGATCTGGAGATAAAACGACATGATTTCTTTATTGATCCACAATAAAAAATTGCAAAGATCGAAAACGCAAAGAAATCATATCAAGATATTTGCGGTCGAAGTTCATCGTCAAGTGATCTGGCTCGTGATCCTTGTTGGAGAAAATATGAAATATGATCAAATCAAAATCAAGTTCGAGGAAACAAACTTTTAAATTACGAAAACAAATTAAACGTTTTAAACGAAAATTATGTAAAAAAGGAAGAAATCAAACCTCCAAGAAGCGAGTTTATGGAACAAAATCCCGAATCTTATACGATCTGATTTCTCTGTTTGCATCTTTCTCTTTATCTATATTTTGAAAATCCTAAAATTGGATTCATCTCGAAAACCTTAATTGGTGTAGAAGAATCGGTTTCGAAAGAAATTTGGCGGTTTTGATTTCTGAGTAAGTGGCAGTGAATGCCCACAACGGGAACCTTGAAATAAAAAGACCCATTTAGGGGCTGTTTGTTTACCTCTTAATAGTTTCATTAAGAGACAACATCTGAATCGTTAAAAAGTGAATCTTGTTTGGCAAAAAAAAAAATCTGTCTTTTAATGGTTTTAAAACCTTCTGAATGATTTTGTATCTTGGATCTCCCTTAACCATTAAAAGCCCTAATTTCATTGTACACAATTACCAAACAATTATATTTTATTTTGTACTATATTATGAGAGCCTCTTAATCATTCTGACCATTTAGTCGTTCTACACCAAATCATTTAGCAATTGCCAAATAGCCCCTAGACCTGTTTGATTAAGATGATCCAATGAACATGGTTAAAAGAACGGTTATGATCATATTTAGCTCCCGTTCATAATTTTGCTATAGATGATACACGAGGAATCTTTTTATGGTAGTTCTTCCTAATAATGACCAACATATCTACGATTATTTCCTTCCGGATGAAATAGCAAGGTTGTAATCAATAAAAATATTTTTCCATCGAAAATGGGTGAAACATAACGAATGTACATATCGATAAAGGAATGTTTATTGATTTGCGTGCTAATCTTCTTTCCAAAATTTGAAATCGAAATGGGTATCAAAATGTCATCTTCTAATTCGTTCTTCTATACATATACATATACATATACATATACATATACATATACATATACATATACATATACATATACATATACATATACATATACATATACACAGCCACACATGTATATGTATTTGTCTAATGAATCAAATATACCAACGGAACTCGTCTTTTTAACTTTGAACGATCGAAAGTGGATTGAAGATGAGTCAAGACACAATCTATCGATTCGAACTCTGATTCAACACCAAAAATTTGATAATTGATCTAAACAACCAAAATATAAACATAAATATTACAAAAATATTATTGTTGAAAAGCTATTCGAATTGATTTGACAAAAGGTTTATTGATCTTCTTAAGATGAGCTTTTATCACCTTCATTGTCTTCGATCTATTTTCCAATGAAAAAGTTTGCTTGTCTTGCTTAACAGAAAAAACCAATGAAAACAACAATATGAAAACAAAATTGACTAGAGCAATACGATGATAATGAGTAAACTTCATTATCGTACGTATTTTTATGCGTTTTCTTTATTTTTGTTTTTCTTGTTTACTTTCTCTAATTTTACGCTTAAAACCAAAGAAAATAAACAAGTTCCAATAGAAGATGTTGTAATGTTTGTTTCTAAAAAAAGGCAAATTGAATGAAAAAATATCGTACTTTAACATTATTTTTATTTTGGGTAACGTACTTTTAAAACTTTCATTTTGGTATCTTATATATAAATTTTTAAATATTTAAGTATCCGGGTAACAGGTTGAAGCATTAACCGGTTACCCGAGTACTTAAATATATAAACTTTACATCTTAGATACCAAAATAAAAATTTTAAAAGTACATTATCCAAACTAGAAATCAAGTTAAAGTACGTTACTTTTTCTTGTAATTTGTACAAAAAAAATAACGTAACAAACATAAATAGTATGAGTATATCAATGGGTTTTATACATTTTTGGGTTTAAATAAAAATATGGAATTTTAGAAAATATTAAGAATTAAATGTTGGGTATTGACCGATAAATTAAAAGTAATTAAAAAATTCCCTTTTATAAGAAAGTCAAATATCAAGAATTAAATGTGGGTATTGACATATAATATATAAGTAATTAATAATTTTCCTTTCATAAAAAAAGTCAAACATTTTAATGAATTTTCTTTTTATAAAAAACCAAAAATTTTATTATTAAATATAAATATTTTTTTAATAAAAAAGTCATTTAATGAATGTAATAAATTCTTTTCTTTATATATGATAATAATTTTTTATCTTTAATTATAAATAGGAGTTAAATACAATTTTGGTCCCTATAGTTTACACAAATTAAGAAGTAAGGTCCCTGAGAAGATTTTTTAACAAAGGACACTTGTATGATTTTATTTTTATAATGAATATGGTCCCTTCTAATAACGCCATCAGTTAGAGTGTTGTTAGTGAGGGGATAGTTTCGTCCATTAACCGTTCCCCTCCCTCGACTTTCATTTTATAACGGGTTTAGTCCCTTTGTCTACTTTCATTTTTGTAACAAGTTTAGTCCCTCCTTCTATTTTCATTAACATATATCTTCTAAGTATAGAGGGCAAAATAACTAAACGAACCCACAAACGAAAATGGTTATATATTCATTTGGTTAGATTTAATACCTGATTAATGCCAATTTATTTAGTTATTTTGCTTATTATATTGAAAAAATCATGACTGTTCCACCAAGTTTTTACTGGTTAAAGGGGTGAGGCCAAATCCGTCATAAGAATAAAATCAGAATGAACGAGCAAACTTGTTATACAAATGAAAGTAGATGGAGGGAGCAAATCCGTTATAAAAATTAAAGCCAGAAGGAGGGAAAAAGGTTAATGGACAAAACTACCTCTCACTAACCGACACTCTAACTGATGACGATATCAGAAAGAACCATACCTGTTATAAAAATGAAACCACACAGATATCCATTAACTTTTTAACAACCTTACTATTAATTTATGTGAACCATATGGACCAAATTTACAATTAACTGTAGAAATATTCATATACTTTTTCAGTGATAAAATTATATTTAATAAAAAAAGTCAAATAGTTGACATTCTTATAAAAGAAAATAATTATTAATTACATTTGCATTTATTTGTCAAAACCCAACATTTAATTCTCAATATTCTTCGATGATTCACATTTGAAACGTGATTGAAATTCGTTTTTGTAGTAAAAATAGAGTACCTGACCAACAATAACCTAAACATAAAGAACTCGTACAAACACGTATGGTGATGGAGTTTACTTTTTGTCACTGCATCCCTCCAATCAGTTTGGTTTACGTGATGTTTTTCTTGTTGCTTTTACCGGGTTTTTCGATCCAACAAGATAACCGTACTTTCCCATCGGACAATGCATCGAAGAAGATGGAGTTGATTAAATCTCGTCTTAAGAAGATCAACAGACCTTTTGTCAAGTCAATTCAGGTTTTTAATAAAAATGTTTTTTGTTTTATTTATGCTTCTGTTTTACTTGTTTGAATTAATTGGCATTTTTTTATTTTTTTGTATCAGAGCCCAGATGGTGATATCATAGATTGTGTTTTGACTCATCTTCAACCCGCATTCGATCATCCTGAGTTGAGAACAATATTGTCGTCGGTATGTTTTGATACATTTTATGTATATAACTATAGGCGAATGATCGTGTGAGAATAAAAGTTAAGGTGAGAAGCGTAAGAAGAAATATGAACCCTTGATCATCTTTAATCTCAAATCCACCCATGAATCTTGCTTGATACAGGGATTGATCTGGTGCATCTCATTCTAATGTGCATCCAAGTGTGGTGATCATTTCTTACGCTTCTCATCTTAACTTTTATTCTCATTGTAACCCCACCCTATATATATATATATATATATATATGAAAATTCGTGCAACGATTAGTGATGTTGTACTTAGTGTTGACTCGAGTACATGGATATTTTGTCGAATAAATGAATTCTTTAAATAGGATCCTCTAGAACCATCCAACGGACAACATAAGGAAGGAATAGAATCAGAATTGAAGCAGATATGGAGTTCAAAAGGAGAATCATGCCCGTATGGAACAATTCCAATTAGAAGAACAAGCGAATATGACATTTTGAGATCGAATCCCGTTTCAAAATTTGGAAAGAAATTAAGCACAAAAACTCATCAAAATTCCATCAATGACGGCCATAAGGTAACTAATTCATTCTCTTTCTTTCGAGTGATTCCCTTTAAAATAGGGGTTTAATAGTACAAATTGTATTTGTATGTATATATGTAGCACGCGAGGGGATACGTAGAAGGAGACGAATATTACGGAGCAAAAGCAGCATTCAATGTATGGGATCCCAGTGTTTCTAATCGAGAAGAACATAGTGTTTCACAAGTTTGGGTTGCTACTACTGGTATCCCACTTCATGACGAAAACACAATTGAAGCCGGTTGGACGGTACAGTTATTTCAGTTTTTTCAACTTTACTGAAAATGTTGAATCGATAGAATGAGTTTTTTATATTAATTTTTTGTTCACTATGTTATTACCCTATTTATACTATATTATGAAGCATTTAACAAAAACTCTTAAAATCATCTTTTATACATAAAGTATGGTTTATTGATGCATGTTATTTAAAATTTAAGATTACAAGTAAATTGTGCATAGCTACAACTTATTAAGCTCCATGTTTGAATTCATGTAACTAACTGTAAATAAGCATAATCAAATATATGATAAATTTTTTGTCTTTAATATAAAATCAAAAAATATAATTAGATAATTATTGAGTTCTAATAGGAAAACTTAGTTATAACCTTTATAAAATAATATGTTATTAAATCAAAAATAAATTATTTCATCATTAAACTTAAATTAAATTATAATAAAAAAATTGGATTAAAGAAATTACACCCAAAAAAATGAGAACTTTTATATATTTTTAATTTTTATTATATCTTCAAATTTATATTTTATTAAGAAAAACATTAGTGTTTGCTCAAAACCACATAAATCCGTATTATAATATCGACAGAGACCAAAAAAATAAAATGAAACATTGAAATCGAGATATATCTTGTTGTATTGCGCGAATACCTTTCTAGTTAATTTTAAAAAGATTTAGTTATAAATTTTAGATGTAGGTTTTTCTTTTAAAGAATTTGACTTTGTATATTTATGATTACTGATAGTTTATAATCTCGTTTTATGTGGCAGGTTAATCCTACACTATACGGAGATCATTCTCCTAGACTTTTCATTTACTGGACTGTAAGTTCTTTATTTGTTAGTCGACATTCTGTTCATTTTTAGATACTGATATTAAAAGCTTGAAACTAAATTTTTTACAGAATGATGGGTACCGAAGTGGATGCTACAATTTGTTGTGTCCAGGGTTTGTCCAAACGAACAGTAAGATCGCAATTGGAGCTGCTATATATCCAGTATCAACATATAATGGCACACAGTTCGACATTAGCTTATTCATCTGGAAGGTAAATTTTTAACCGTTGAAACGTGGTACACAAGAAATTTTCAAGGGAAGAAAAAACATGAAAGCGTACTCATTTCATCTTGTAAGAACCGTAACAAAAAATTACATTTGTGTTTTCTTCTAGAAACTACCTTTTTTTACTGTTTTAAGTTGAAATTATTTGTCAATACGTCATTTGCAAATGATCCGTCTTCAATGGGAACTGCAAAGTTTCAAATTTTACAAAGATTGTTATGATATAAAATGGTTGTGATTTTCTTCTGTTATGAATGTTTGCAGAGTCCAAGAAATGGGAATTGGTGGTTAAAGATGGGATCTGATGTGGTCGGATACTGGCCAACAAGTTTATTCACAGACCTTCAAGAACATGCAACGTCGATTGCATTTGGAGGAGAGGTGTTCACTTTTCAAACATCGGGTCCGCACACATCAACCCAGATGGGAAGCGGTCACTTCTCAATGGAAGGGTTCGGGAAAGCATCATATATCAGGAACATGGAAGTCGTTGATGGACAATTTAAGCTAAATCCTGCGTCTAATGTGAATGTATCGGCAGAAAACGAAAATTGTTATGATGTTATAAGTGGGGTTGCTGATAATTGGGGCAGTTATATATTTTTTGGCGGGCCTGGAAAAAATCCAAAATGTCCTTAACAAATTCATATTTTTTTTATCAGATAATATAATAATTAGAGTAAATTACATTTTTGGTCCTATGGTTGTCACCTACTATAAATTCCAGTCCCTGTTTTAAACTAATCACCTATTATAAATGCTTTTAGATAGGACGTTTTTTTTGTTTAGTCCTATAAACACAAGTCGTGTACAATAATTGATTAGGATGGTTAGATATTTTAACCATCCTAAAAACCCAATTTTATTGTAACAAAAATGTAAATAGTTTAAAAGAAATAATCAACCAACCAAATCTTTTTAACTTCATAATATATCTCTCTCAAAAAGATAGTAAATAGATTAGTTTCGTTTAACATATGATTTATTATGTAAATTTTTGTACATATCACGTATGATAATATACGTTGTAATATTTTTTTTGAACATCAGAGATTTTAAAGATAACTAGCAAGAAGCTAGAAAAACATATTACATGTAAGAAATAGCAAGAATGAAGTTTTTTTAACCAACCCGCCCAATGAGAAACTTTAACAGTAAATGTTTGAGAGAAATAAATAATATTTTATTAAATGTATAAAGTATTTTAATGATATAAGGAATTTTATGGTCATCAAACTAGAGAAGCTGTTGGAGTTGAATGTAAATTTATTTTAGAGATTTTGAATTTTCATTCTCCATTTTGAAAAAATAAATAGAGAACCTATTGAAGATGTTTTAATGTAGCTTTTTTTGGGTTTATTAAAAAAACCCTTGTTTAGGTAGTTAGCTTATAAACGCTTGAATCTCAATGAATCTTATTGGTGGGGAAGTAATAAAAAATGTCTATTTTATGGTAATCATTTTTGGAAAGTTCTCTAAATTTGTAGTTTTTTTGAAAGATCTCTCTCTCTCTCTCTCTCTCTCTCTATATATATATATATATATATATATATATATATATCATGTCATATATGAGTTATTATGCAACTCTTTACATTTGTAATAAAATAATGATTTCATAAAAGTTTTAATTTTTTTCTAATATAAAGTATTAATCATAATTAATGAACTGTAGTTATCTTCCATGAATATTCAAATCATAATAAATGAACTTTCATCATTTTCATCAATATCTCAATTGATTGGGTTGCATTAGTTGTACAAATGTAATAGGTTGCATTTGAAACATCTTCTCGCTTTCTCTCTCTCTCTCTCTCTCTCTCTCTCTCTCTCTATATATATATATATATATATATATACACACACACACACATAAAGTTCGTTTCAAATATAACTCATCATATTTGTACAACCAATGTAACCCAATAAATTGAGATATTTATGAAAATGATGAGAGTTCATTTATTATGATTTGAATATTTATAGAAAATGAATATAGTTTATTAATTATGATCAATACTTTATACCAAGAAACAATCATAACTTCTATGAAATCACATATTCATCAAATTAAATGAACGATTGAGATTGGGTTGCATTGGTTGTATAAATGTAAAGGATTGTATAATAATTCATATATATATATATATATATATATATATATATTTCCCCATTTTGCGATATATGTTACAACAAAAATTTATCTAAAATCTTTATTTTCCATTTTTGAAAACCTGATGAGATGTTTTTGTTAATTACTATCTATACTATATTATAAAGCATTTGGCTAAAACTCTTAAAAACTCTTAAACTCTTAAAACTCTTAAACTCTTAAAAACTCTTAAAACTCTTAAACTCTTAAAAACTCTTAAACTCGTTCATCCCTATCCGATTTCATCCCATATCTGAATTCGTGTAACTAACTGCAGATAAACACAATCAAATACAGGATAAACATCTTATTTTAAATATAAAAAATCTAAAATAAAATTAGGATAATCATTGAGTTCTAACAGAATATTTAATTATTAT